ATATTTATAATTGTTTGTAAATGTCGTTTCCGCACAATAAGAACTAAAAGGGCAAAATTTAGCGAACATACTGGAAATCGTAGTTATCCATACGAGGGGACTACTCCTAAAAGTGGCCCATTTTCTGTACCACAGATTCTGGATATAATTCAAAGATGTCTATCAAATTTTAGATATATATCCTAAATGTCGAGAAATATATCTCAAACTATAACTATATTTTAGCTTTTGCACCGACGTTAACCTTATTAAATGTCCCAAACTATAACAAAAAAAAACTGAAGTATATATTTAGGCGACGATAATAAATAACTGCAACGTACAACTATTAGTAAAAACACAGTCGTATTCACTTTCGGGACTGGATTTTCGTTCTATGGAAAAATGAAATGAAAAATATTTCCTTCGTAAATGTTTTCATTTGTCATTAGATTAGACCCATGGCAGAAGAATACAGGTAGATGCATCAACGCTTGGGAGCATTGATTTGTGAAAAAAAATTTAAATGTTTTTTCAAATATAAGTAGATTTTTATATGTTTCGGAGGCTATTAAAATTCGCGTTTTTTCAAACAATTTTTACAAATTTAAACAATTTTTTATTCAACATTTTCAATTCCAAAATTGGTTTGACAGTCCATTGTCCCAGCAGCTGTGTCGACGCGTCTACCTATATTCTTCTACCATGATTAGACCTAAATTTTAAATTCCCGTTAGAGATCCCAATATTTTTGTTAGGTCCTTTTTTTAATTTGTATTCACATAGATATTTGACTGGTGCGTTTGAAACGGTACATGATACAGGCTTAGGCTCCGGACACGCCTGGGTGGGGGTTGTATCCACCATATGATGGTTGGGAGAGTCTCGCGGTAACACCCAAGCAGGTACTGCAACGAAAGCATACGATTATGCTGACGTAAGGGAAGGACTCTCTCCTCCTCATGTAAATGGTCCACACACTCAGGGCAGCATTCTGGCAGGTCTGTATGTACTTCCACTGCGTAGCACAAGTTTTCGCAGACCACACTTGAACCGCATAGCTGACCACAGACCGATCTATTGCGTTATTAGAGGTCAACAAGGTTTCCTTGTCCGCAACCCAAGTGTTGCCGGCTAGCGCCTTGAGGTCCTTGTTCCTACTTTTCATCTTGTCGCAAATAGCTGTGGCTTGCGCGGACGACTTGAACATGCTGTCGAATGTGACCTCTAGAATATTGGGGTAGTTCGTGGTCGGTATTAAATTCCCCTCGACCTGCACATTAAGCTGTATTCTCATCTCCGCAGACCATGTGGTAAAGAGTGTGGCCGTTGATTTCGTTTCGGATATTTTCATATTCCTCGCGTGGAAGTATGCGGCAAGTTCCGCGAGATAGGGGTTCAGTCTATCACATATGTCATCGACCTACGCCATGATCTTACAATCATCGGCATATTTATGATCTCTATACCCTCTGGAGGGCGAGGAATTCCGGAAAGGTGGAGGTTAACAGTTTCGGAGATATCACCCCACCTACCTGTTTTATTCGGGCTTTGGACTTCTTGTGCCGGAATTCCACGTACGTATATTTGATTTTCCAACGTTTCAAACTTGGCCGGAGGGTGATTCTCTGCACGTCCTCAACCAGTATTCATTTGATACGGTCAAGGGCTACCAACACAGTTCTATCACACAGCTTGTTCTGGTTCAATCCTCTACTAATATGTGTGGAAATGGCGTTTAATGCTGTTATGGGCGGGATCCGTGCTGATGGTTGGCGACTGGATAGCTTCCTCTATTGCTGGGGAGGAGTAAAGCCTCACGAGTCTTAGCTACTGGCGACAGAAGCGAAATCGGCCTGTACGCTTAGCCTTTACTGGCACCCTTAGCCTTTACTGGCACCCTTGCTTCAGTAGCGGGACCATCCGGTCCGTTTTCAAGGCTTCAGGCACTATCTGCGTGGCTAGCGACAGGTTGAGAACTTTCGTTAAATACTCGACTCCCTGTGTATCCTGTTTCAGCATTACCATTGAGATTCCGTCCGGACCCAAAGCTTTGGATAACTTAGCGTTCCGGATGACATTTGCAACATCACCCATAGTAAACTATGGTGGTTCCTCCTCGGCGGGAAGAGATCTGATATGACGTAGTACTTCTTCGTTTCGCCCTGTCGCTTTCGGGGTGCTCGACAAATTGTCGGTTAAAATACTCAGCGCATCTTTTCGGGTCAGTCACCGTTACGTCGTTAAAAGTGACTGAGGTCCTATCATCCTTATTTCCAGGGTTCGAGAGCGACTTAACCGTTACCCACAGCTTACTCATATCGGTTCCAATGCTGCAACGCTTCAGATGGTCTAGCCATTTTTTCCTCTTATGCTCCTGTACTAACCTGTTGACTTCCACTGTCAAATCACTGATTCTAGGATCAGTAGGGTTGGTACGACGGAGATCATCACGCTCATTTGCTAATCCCGCTGCCTCTGCTGGGAAGTTTGGTCTTATTTCGGGTATTCGACCAGCAGGTATATAGCGAGCGGCGGCAGCTTTGTTGATGTTTCGGAAAATCTTTTCTGCAACCTGAACATCAGAAGGGTTGGGGAGTTTTCTGAAGATGCAGTTGGTAAATTCTCTGAACTCTGGCCAGTGAGCTTGCCCATGGTTAAGGAAAGTGCGGCGTTCAGAGGTTATGAAATCGAGCGACCTGCTTATGGAGACGATTATCAGGAGATGGTCTGAGCCAAGAGAAATGACGTCATTTATCAGACTGGCTGACACTATGGTTAAGTCTGGCGATCTGTGACACTCTCCTCTTATTCGGGTAGTGGCATCCACGTTACCCATGCAGAATGTGAAACAGTCAATCTTCTCTGTCAGCGCTGATCCGCTCTGGTCATTGCCTAGGACGGAATGTCACAACTCATGGTGGGCATTAAAATCCCCTAGTACCAGGCGGTTATTGCCTACCAAAAATGGGCTAATATCTGGCAAATAACGCGGTTCACAGCTATTAATCGGCGGGATATACACATTAAGCACCCTACCTCGGCAGTTCCACACTTGACTGCTGCCCCCATACATTCCATGTATGGGTCAATAGAGACTAGCCTAAGCGAGATAGGTCTGTACTGAACAGAATGGTGTAAAAGCAACGCTAATCCCCCACCTCCACTTCTGGTCGGATCTTTCCTTAGTACGTTGTAATTATAATACCGTTATAGGCTGCAATTTTTATTCAGCTTGGTTTCCTGCACCGCTGAGATCTTAATATTCCTCCGATTCATAAATTTCGCTATCTCATCAATTTTTCCTCGGAGTCCGTTGCAATTGGATTGCAAGAACGATGCACAATCCGAAGTTGGAACAGCAACATGTGGTGTTAGATGCTGCGGTGTTGGTTGCTGTTCTGGAGTGGGGTTCCACACTCCGACGACGCCTCTGATGAGGACGACGAAGTAGTGGAATCGCTGGGGACTACGCTACAGCAGCACGTCGCAACATAATCCCATTCACTGTAGTCTCGCAAAGGCCTTAGTCCAGAACAGTTATTGAAGTGCACCTCTTCTCTACATACATTACATCGCACAGAAACACATCCGAGATATGCTGCTCCCAATGCAAAAAAATAAACAAACATTTACACACTGGTTTGGTAGCCCCTAGCCGAAACTGGGATGTTTTTGTTTCGGGTCAATCCGGTATGGTAGAACCCACTGCCGTGGGATAGTAAAGCATGGGTATGTCCGTTCGTCGTCTTTGATGGAATTATATCGTATTTTGCATAAATACTAGGGTATTAAGGCTTATATAGATGTGGAAATAAAAGCGGTGGATCACCAACAACATCGGGTCTTTGCTAATTGGATCTTGAACATGGTTGGGAATTCCATTTAAAAATCATTCTGACTAATAAGTCTTATTCTGACTTGTGTGGCTATGTCAACGAGAAAATTCTATTACGTGGGGCTCGAAATATGGCACTTCTAGTCAAACCTTAAGGATCTGCTAGATGGTGCCCTTTGCAAATTCGCGCATAGGTCATCAATGCTGTCATTGCAAGGATAAATGTTGCGTTCGACCGCAAAAAATATCATTAAAATTTTATAAATTAAACCGGTTGAAGGGAGAAAAAATTTTTCTACGAACCATAGGAGAAATTATGAGATGATCTCAAATCGATATTTATAATTACTTTCAAAACAAAAAACATCAAACAATGGATGGAATAAAAACATAAGTAAACGGTGACTTTAATTTAGCAATTAATTTTTATTTAAATACATAATTACTTTCAACATATACTTAGGAATAATTTACTAAATTAAATTGTAATTTAAAATAACGAAGGCACTGCACGATAAAACTTAAGAAGAATTGAATTTGTAAAACAAAGCGAAAAGACCAAAATAGATTTAAAAACCAAATTAAAATCAAAGAGATTTTATGAAAGCAATAGCAGAATAAATCGAATACAAATGTAAAATTTTGTGGATCTAATTTCGTTGAAAATAATTAGACAAGACATGGCAATGATTATTTTTGTTTGATATGCATGTTAAGTTTCTTTTAAATTGCATTTTTCTGAACCAAAAAAAAAAACTTGAATTGACTGGGTAAACTCATTTCATCTATGCCACCTGGCTTAAAAATGCGGCACTCCAATAGCCTGTAATCATATAGGTTTATCTTCTAACTCAAAAATATTGCTTCTCCTGATGCATTCAGATGATGCCGTAATTCCATAAATATAGATGTTAAATATTTCAAATTTTTAACCTGCATTTCAGTTGCTTTTTCTTTTGAGTGCTCGACAGGAAATTTTCAGTTTGTAAACCTACTGGTCGAAAAATGCCTAATTGTAGAATGGCGCTGAAATTTTCCGACGACTTAAAAAATGAGAGCAGTATACCAAAAATGTAGGAATCCAAGAGTTCATCTTTCTTCCGTCACTATCTTGGATATCATCATGGCTGCCGGGGTTTTGAAGAGTAAAAGTGAACCGAATACCATCTTCTTTTTGAACCCGAAACGCAGCAGTTTCTTGAGCCAGAAAAAAACTTTTCCAAATTACGAAAATCTCCACCTTGACATTGTGAGTTGAGTTTTATTCAATATTTCTCACAAACTTATGGACATGTTGTTTAACGCCTTCAAAAGGGTGCTCACATAAACCGTTCCTGAAGTATCGCTATTTGTGTTGCCCAAACATAATATGGCTGATGGACCAAAGTTTTATTCACCTCCCCTGTACTAAACCGTTCTTAAGACATCACTATTAAATAGCTTCTTGCTAGAATTGCACTACTAACACATGATTGAGGGTTTTAATTTATTTTCCAGATATCAAAAGCAATGCAGCCTTGATTGAATGAACCGCTCTTCGATTAAGAAATTAATAGTCGATCTAGCCCTCTTAGCGATATTATACGGTTTTTACTGCTTAAAGTCATTTTCTTGCCAAAACTCAATTCAATGAGTTAGATGAGTTGGGGTTTTAAGTATAAGGCATACGGGGTGAGATGAAAAACTGCAACCAACATCTGAATGCTTTTATTTCTAAGCTGTTAAAATTATTCCAGTAATAGTTCATTACATTGTTTATAAGCGTACAAAAGCATTTTGATGAGAATTTTCTAGAAAAAAAAAGTTTTCGTGATGGAATTCAAGTGTGTGATTTCTTTATATTTGGCTGGAAAACCACAAGTGGCTATCGTTAGAACAATCCAGCATTTAAATGTGAATAAATCTTTTGTGTCTCGTACCATCGCTCGTTACTGTGATACTGGAAGCGTAGCCCGACGTCAAGGAAGTGGACGGAAAATAACAGCAACATCAGCCGAAATAGTTGTAAAAGTAAAGAAGCGACCCTCGTCGCTATGGCCGAAAAATGGCTTGTGAGCTGAACATATCGCAATATTCAATCCGGCAAATATTGAAGAATGCACTCGGGGTAAAACCATTGAAATTCCAAAAAGTGCAAGAACTTACACCTCAACAGAAAGAAAATAGACTCAAAAGAGCTTGGCCGAAAGTGGTGAACTGCCGAATATGGTTTTCTCCGATGAGAAAACATTCGTCGTCTAGCAGTTTGAAAACAAACAAAAATATCGTGTTTACTTGCCAGCTAAAAATGTGCACCTTCGGTTGGCCACCAAAACTCAAGCGCCGGCCATGGTGATGGTGTGGGCCGCCATAACAGCCGATGGTCGCTCTCCGCTCGTATTAATCGACCGTGGTATCAGAATAAATGCCGAATATTATAGCGAAATTATTCTGGAGCCTTGGACACGCAAACATTTTGGTCGCAGACCTTGGACATTCCAACAGGACTCAGCACGCGCACCCAATAATGGTTACAAAATGAGGTTCCTCGCTTCATTTCCAGCGCACAATGGCCACCAAAATCTCCGGATACCAATCCGTTGGACTATTGTGTCCGGAGTATTTTGAAAAGCAAGGTTGGCACTAAAAATTACCAAAGTGTCGATCACCTCAAGCAAGCGCTTCGCCGGGAATGACCCAAAATTCCACAGAGCAACATTCAGGCAGCATGTGACGGTTTCATTGGCCGTTTAAGGGGATAATTCGTGCCAAAGTTGATGCTATTTCCGACATTTTGTGCTTTCATTCAATAAAATTTAAAAATATGTAAAAATTGTGTGGTTTTGACTTTGCTGCAGTTTTTTTATCTCACCCTGTATATTGTGACACATCATAAAGGGAAGTCAGAGCAGCATTCGAAGCCATGGTGTCAAGCTGCTTATGTAGCCTTAAGACAACTCTTCGTTTCTTATAACTTTTGAAGACGCATTTTGGTTAGAACGTAAACATAAAATGGGTAAAAATAAACTACAACAATTTTCAGAGAAATGCATAGGGATAGATAAAAAAAAAGATAAGTGATAAACAAATGTGTTATGGTTTTGTTTTAGTTGTATAGGACAATTGTTTGTATGTTTGATTTGTTCTTTAACTTTTGATTCTGTTGCTATAAAACTTGTGTTTTTTCTTTGTATATAACCGGTTGTGAATGTGATATTTTTCTAATTCTTAAATGATATTGTTTTTTTCAGTCAATTTTTTTTTTTTTTGTTTTAATAAAACTTAATTTACAATCTTATAGGATAGTTGATTATTTAGACTAAAATTGAAAATCTGTGCTTACATACTTAAGACTTAAATTGTTATAAAAATCACTTACAAATACTTTCATTCTGTACAGTCCTGTCTTGCCCAGCGCTAAAGGAAATCACATGTAAAATATATAATTAATATAACATTGCACAAATATTCAACGATTTTATACAATATTCTTGTTAAGGAATAATATTTTTTGAGACATGTGTAATAGAGACTCCAATCTTCAACAAATTCAAAAAAAAAAAAAAAGACTAGGCAAGACGACTGGTTTAGTAATAGCTATGAAAAGAAAAGTTGTACAACATTAAACTTAAAATAAGATTAGGCTCAAGTTTTTGGAACACAAAACTTTTGTTAAAAGGAAAAAGTTTAAATATTTCTCCCTTCGTCAAGAATATACAGAACAGAGTCTGGACCCATACTCAACTCAAACTCCGGTTGTTCATAAAGATAAACTTTAATCAGAGAAAAGAAAACAAGATCCTAATTAAGGATAAGTTAAATAACTCTGCACATAAATAACTGTTTCAATCTTCAACAGTGATTTCAATGCCAATCCTATGAATTTGCCTCAATTATATTCGATTCTTTGATATCCACCGTACTACAATTGTTGGTATTATTTTTAATTAAGAACGGCGTAATGGGATATTTTAGTAATTGTGAAAAACGTTCCATTACACACGACGAAGATAAACGGGCTTCGGCATCGTGATCCCAGCATTCTTCCATTGTATCACAAATAATGCTAATTCCCTGTAAAAAAACAAAAAAAACCGCAATTCAGAAATGTTTTCACCAACGTTCAAGTTTGCGCCAATACTTACAGGATGTGAACGCCAAGAATTTAAGATTTGTGGACGTAATTTTTTCATGACCACATTCTCTTGCACCTCGTCCAGAGTAGGTCGTTGGCCCAACTGGAAAAAAAAAACAAAAACATTCTTATAACCATGAAAATCTAAATTCCCAAAAAAAATTATGTTTTTAAACGTAAAAACTGAAATGGCCTAGATTCGATACGAGGTCACACATAATAACCAACCGAATAGATAAATTTTTATACCCTCCACCATACATAGTACGGAGGCTATATTAAGTTCGTACTTCCATTTGTAACTCATCAAAATAATAATTTTAGACCCAACAAATTATTTATATTCTTAATCAGCGTAAAATTCTAGCACTGTCCGTCCGTCTGTTGTAATCGCGCTAGAGTCAAAACGAAAAAAGATAGAAAGCTTAAAATTTGCACCGATCTGTCTTTTGTCTACAGATATGAGCACAGTATCGCTATTATTCAAGTTGCATAAGAAGAGAGTATACTAATAATCAATTAATTATTTTCATTTTTAAATGCTTATAAATTCAAAGTTCTTCAAGGTCATTTTGTCCACTAACCCCAGGACACTTAAAACTCAGCAATTATCAAGACAGAAACGAACAAAACAATTTTAAAAAAACGAAATTTAAAATAAAAAATTTTACTTTTCTTTTACAATCCTAAAATTATTGAATAAAATTAATATCGTCGATAAATGCAAATACAGGGTGAGATGAAACAACTGCAACCAACTTCAAACTGCTGTCATTTCTAAGCTACTCGTCCGACAGCTGTTAAAATTATTTCAGAGACAGCTCATTATATTGTTTACAAGCGTACAAAAGAATTCTGGTGAGAATTTTCTAGAAAAAAAGTTATTGGTGAAGGAATTCAAGCGTGATAGTGTGATTTCTTTATATTTGGCTGAAAAACCACAAAGGGGCTCTCGTTGGAGCACTCCAGCATTTAAATGTGAGTAAATCTTTCGTGTCTCGTGCCATCGCTCTTTACCGTGATACTGGTAGCGTAGCCCGACGTCGAGGAAGTGGACGGAAGAAAACAGCCACATCAGTAGAAATGGTTCGAAAAGTAAAGAAGCGACTTAATCGAAACCCGCGTCACAGTGGCCGAAAAATGGCTTCGGCAAATATTGAAAAATAAGCTCGGGGTAAACCCATTAAAGTTCCAAAAAGTGCAAGAACTTACACCGCAACAGAAAGAAAATAGACTCAAAAGAGCTAAAGAGTTGCTTCGCTTGGCCGAAAGTGGTGAACTGCCGAATTTATTTTTTCTCCGATGAGAAAACATTCGTTGTCCAGCAGTTTGTAAATAAACAAAATGATCGTGTTTACTTGCCAAAGAGGTCAGCTGAAAATGCTCCACAGAACTCAAGCGCCGGACATGGTGATGGTGTGGGCCGTCATAACAGCCGATGGTCGCTCTCCGCTCGTAATAATCGACAGTGGCATCAAAATAAACACTGAATATTATTGCGAAAATATTCTGGAGGATGTATTGAAGCCTTGGGCACGCAAACATTTTGGTCCCAGACCTTGGACATTTCCAACACACTCAGCACGCGCCACCAAAGAATGCTTACAAAATGAGGTTCCTCGCTTCCTTTTCGGCGCACAATGGACACCAAAATCTCCGGATACCAATCCGTTGGACTGGTGTGTCGAATATTTTGGAAAGTTGGCACTAAAAAATACCAAAGTAACGATCACTTAAAGCAAGCGCTTCGCCGGGAATGGGTCAAAATACCGCAAAGCAACATTCGGGCAGCGTGTGAGGGTTTCATTGGCCGAAGGCCATAATTCGTGCGAACAAATCTAAACTTTTTTTAACATTTGATGATATTTCTGACATTTTTTGATTTCAATTACAATTACAGTTTAAAAAAATGTAAATATTATGCCGCTTGACTTTGTTGCATCAACCTGTATGGTAGAGGGAAATAGTAGTATTATTATCGGTTAAACTCTCCTTTACATAGACGGTTGACGATTATTATCCGAAAGTCCTCCATCGAAACACTTTGACTTGCCTTTAATTTTCTTATACTGAATTTTCCATTTTCATTGTAATTCAGTCCCAAAATTTATTTAACTTTCTTAACAATTGATTAACCTATTCTGAATCATTGATTTTATCTTCATTAAGTCTCCTTTGACGTCATTGGAAGACACTTTACCATTTTTTATTTATTTTTTTTTTGTCATTTATTGGGTTGTTCCAGAATTTTTTTCCCGCTGGAGATTTATTTATTTATTTATTTCATACCATAATACTAAAGCCTCCAAGGCCAATGAATAGTATTAATAACGTAATTATGCTCCAAGTAGAAAATAATAACTTAAAACTAATTTTAACTAAGTCAATATATTTGGCTCCCCAGCCATAACTACACAAAAATTAAAAAAGAGATTAATATTAATAATAAATAAAGGACGTGATAGCAACAAAGCAACAAGCCTTAAATAAGTGTACATACATATCTCAAAAATAAAAGTACTAAAAACATGTACTGTTTTTAACAAACTAATAATATACATTAGATAATATGAAGATCAGAATTACGAAGGTGGCCTATAAGTTTTAAGCGGAAAGCATTATTAGACGGTGAAAATATTCTCAGTTCAGTAGGCAAATAATTCCATAAACGGGCAACTCGTATTACAAAAGATCTCTCAAAAGTAGAATTGTATATTCTAGGTATAAATATCTGAGTATTTCTCGAGGACATAGCAAATCTAAACATATTCTTTAATAAAGCAGGTACATCTGTTTTCACAATTTTATAAAAAGAGCATAACACCCTACAATTAACAAACCGTTCAAAGTTAATTCCCAAGAAAATATCCACATAGTCAGATATATGCTGCCCAAGTCTAACTCCAAAGACAAAGCGGGTAATGGAATTAACCACACGTTTTAACTTCAAGGACACACGTTCTATTGTGCCAGACATAACCTCCAAGCCATAATAAATATGAGGCATCAGTAGAGCATAAGCAATTTTCCTTTTGACCCAGATCGGAAGAGAAAGATTCGTAGAATATAACCTGCGGATAATACTATACACTTTCCTTTGAACAAAGTCAACATGTGTGTCAAATACAAGTTTATCATCAACAAATAAACCTAAAATTTTATGACAATTTACAATAGCAACTCTATCTCTATTAAGAAAAATATTAAGCTGAGATGAGAAATTGCCAAAGCATATGGCTCTAGTTTTCACAGGATTTGTTACCAGCATGTTATCAAAACACCACTGTTCAAAACGAGCTAGGCAATCATTAATTTCCGTCTCGAATAATATCTGCGAGTCATAAACATTACTAAAGACAAGGAAGACATCATCAGCAAACAAGAGCAATTTGCAGTTCAAGTCCGAAAAGCATTCCTTGAGACTATTCACATATAGCACAAACAGCAAAGGACCTAAGACAGAACCCTGTGGTACACCACATGTAAGAGACAGCACATTTGACGATTTTCCATTAAGAACAACAAATTGGCTTCTATCATGCAAATAAGACTCAACAAGCCTACAAGCGGTTGCAGAAAAATTAAACTCAGAATTAAGTTTATGTACCAAATATACATGAGAAATAGAGTTAAATGCTTTCGTAAGATCCAATGACACAACTACACTGTTAATGTTTACATTTGCATTATTCCTAATAATATCCGTCATGTATAGCATCAAACTTGTTGTATTGTAATTCTTTCTGAACGCAAACTGTCCATTATAAATGAGAGGGCTAACATGTGCTAGTATTTGGTCCTTCATAACATGCTCACAAATTTTCGACAACACAGGGAGAATAGATATCGGCCTCAGGTCTTCAGGACCATTTACAAAATTACGCTTAGGCAATGGAACTATCCGCGCTCTCTTCCACTGCGATGGAAACACGGAAGAAGTGAGCACAGAATTAATCAAATCCAGAAGAAAGTCTGAGATATATGGAAAAATAAGTTTAAGAAAATCAATTGTTATTCCATCAACACCAATAGACTTCGATTTAATTCGATTTAGGATCATAAAAATATCATTGACAAAGACACAGTTAAAAGAAAAACTATTTTCAGGTTCATCTATAGCATTGAAATCAAAATAATTAGAAAGCGAATTAGTACAAGCAAACGACATATTCACAACATCAACATCAAGGTCAAAAGCAATGTCATCATCACCCATAAGGCCAGATCCTCTCAGAAACCTCCAAAGAGCAGTTGAGCCCATAGTATTGAATTTTTTGGAATAATATCTTATTCTCTCACGTCGAATAACAGATTTCACCTTGTTCCGATATTTGCAAAAAGTTTTCCATAGAACAATCACTGACTAACATAAAATCTATCAAAGAAGACGAACCATGAGAAACATCGTAGTGGGTCGGTTTAGAATTGTGCAAAACCGACAAATTCAATCTGAAACACACTGAACGAACTGCCGACGACTTCTGCAAATCAAATAAATTACAATTAAAATCACCAACAACAACTATTTTAAAGTACCTAGAAAACAACTCAGAGTGAAGTTCCTCAAATGCAGCAAAATCACCAGGAGGGGGTAGATACACTACACCGAATAATATTTTCATATCTCCAGAAAGCAATTCAACAAATAGCGACTCACATACACCTGCCTCCATGCATTTAAACACAATTCGATGTGATATTCCATTCGAAATATATATTCCAACTCCACCTCCCCTTGCATTGCTACGATCATGCCTCAGAAATTCATACCCAGGTATTTTAACAACTCGACTTGAAACTTCCGTTTTGAGCCACGTCTCAGAAACACCAAGAATATTTACACGAGATCCACACAAAATAGACTTAAGTTCAAACAACTTTGTGGAATTAGTAGAAGGGCGTAAGTGAGCAACATTAAGCTTTCCACTGCATGATTCTAAAACTGAGTTTATATATCTATTGTTGCTAATCACTGGCCCCTATTTATATTAGAAGACATCATAAATCAAGAAGGCAGTTATAGTGGGGAACCATATATATGTAAATAATTCATTAATATGCTTTAACAATTCAAGATTCATTAAAATCACAACTTTTTTAATACAGCTGATCAAAAAAATACAAAATGAGACCATTACACTGAGATCTATTGAAAAAATAATATTCAAAACAAACAAAACATACAAAATAAAATACGTGAACATGCAAAAATTCAATTATGTTCTCTGCTTTCATCAGCAAGCAAGGCCTCACATTGAACAGCATCATAGGTAACACACTTGCCATCAGTGAACATAAGCCAAGCCCTAAGTTTGTCAGTATTGAGAACTTTAAACTTCGTTATAACCTTTCGCTGACGAAGTTTCTTACAAATGGCATTCAAATGAGCAGCCGCTGGAGTAAAATGATCATTGAGATACACACGATTGCTTAAGTCACTGCAACTAGTACTTGCTTTTTTCTGTTAATATAGCAGACTTGGTTGATGTCGAGGCTAGTAATTTCCACCTTAAAGAAAGAGCCAATTGCAATAACTGGTGCTTCCAAGTCTTCCAACCCCTCAGGTAAACCTCCAATTAAAATATCAGATCGGTTCAGGCGCTTGTGTAAAATATTGTCCTCATTCTCAAGTGCTACGAATTTGGTTGCAGCAGACCTTTCAACTCGTTGAACATTTTCAGCACACTTTTGGATATCAGATCGCATCTCGGAAACACAGGAGCTTACTTCATTCTTTATATCCTCCAGAACCGTTTTAAGAGCACTCTGCTGGCTTTCATAACTGAGTACAAAACGATCCAACTTCTCATTCAAACTATTTATCTTGTCAATAACACCAGAAGTACTGCAATTTTCACTAAGATTGGGTTCACAAGAAGCACAGATGTAGGCAAAGGCCTTAACCGATCTAAGAACTCCAAGATATTGCTCATCAATACCAGCACATGACATATGAAACCAACATTTACAGGCTTTACATAAAATGCTGGATCGTGTCTTTGTAATGGATTCCTCACAAGATTTACATTTAACAATTTTGTTAACAGGCATATTGAAATGCAAAACCAGCAACAACTTCAGCGAGTAAATAGAATAAATATGTAAGAAAGGCAACGGCAATTACAGCAGCAAGCAACAACAGCAACACAGCAATATTACACAATCTTAATCCAAAATCAATTAGGCATAAAACTTCAAATTCGAAGAAATCGCAATATATCCACGTTAATTTTATTAAGTCCAACGTATAGACCACAGTTTATTTGTTTATAAACAAACGTAAACAGCAATATAAACAAAATTATCAGCTGCGATAAAAATGACCGTCTACTCAGGCATAGGGTTGCCAACAAGAAGCAGAAAGTGACCACATGTAAAACATGTTAATGTAATTATTGTTTTTCTTTCGTGTGTTCTTTCCTATCGATTGTTCTACTAACTAGTTTCTAATATGTATCATTATACATACCTCTGCCTCGAATGGTAGCAAATATTCTCCAACTGGTCCTGTGGCATCACAACGCGATACCATTTCCCATAACACCAAACCACAGGCATAAACATCAATGCGAAGGAAAGCATCACGATTGAAATTAATGGCACCCTCTAAAACTTCTGGAGCCATATAACGTCTAGTGCCCACCTGGCCATGGGTGTCTCCACACGGTTTGCCTGCAAATAATGGAATGGTTGTTATTTCAATTGAAATCTAGTCCATTCAGAAATTCGCTCATACCCGGTTCAAATATCATGGCCAAACCAAAATCGGCTATACATGCTGTCAAATTGTTTTTCAACAAAACATTTTTCGATTTAAAATCACGATGAGCAATGGACGGTTTTAGGCCTTCTGTTTTGCTGGCTGGAATTTCTTCGTGCAGATGTGCCAAACCGCATGCCATTGATTCGGCTATGCGACAAAGCTGTTGATAGGTTATCGTATGTGATTTGAGATAGTCACACAGTGAACCGTTGTGCTGATAGGCTGAAATGAGCCAAAATTCATGTTGGATATTTTCGGTGTGTTTTTCATGGCCCAGAAATTCCAAAATATTTGGATGTCTCATGCGAGGTAACTGCAAAGAGAATAAAATTATAAATAAATAATTGCTTTAGTTTTTAAGGCATAAATAATGGATATACCTTATAAATTTCAAGTTCTGTATTCCATGATTCTTTTTCTTGCATTCGAAAGATTTTCACGGCCACATCATGATTATGTAGTTTGGCCTGCCAAACATCACCGAAACGACCACTGGCCTTCAATTCCAACAGCTGTATGGGTCTATTACTTAAGAGTGGTGAGGTATTGGTTATTTCAGCTTCATTGGCTGGTACTTCATTGAAATTTTCTTGTTTATGTCGGCGATACAAAAAAACTAGAATACCAGTTGTTGTAATTAAGAGGGCCAAAGCACAGGAACAAATGATGATGGGTATTAGATTTGGATCTTCCGATTTCTTCTCTTTGGGTACTGAGTGGAAGAAAAAATAAAACAAAATATATATGTATTGACGGTTCCATATGACTTCCCAACATATTACATATATTTCTCTTCCCCAGGTTAATAACATTGTAATGTATGGCATGCGGTAAACATTGAATAGGGGGAGATAGCTAAAAAAAAACGAAAGGATACGCAAATAAAGGAAAACTTTACCCGCTTATACCCGTACAAAAAATAAAAAATAATACAAATAGAAGAAAACTCCTGTAGTGACTCTGCAAGCTGAGGGGAAAAATAGCAAAAAAAAAACGAAAGTTCCCCCATTTTGTAATGTAAGGAAGAAAAATGAAAACCGTCAACAAGGAAAACATAGCTATGTAGTGAAGTATGTCCCATAGGTACTAGTAATACATAGTTTTGAATGGGACGAAATGTTACAGTGGGTAAAATTAAAACTCTAATATAAATCCAACAAATATAGTGCGCCTGAATTGAACGTTTCACAAATGTTTTCTTTTTTTCGGGAAAGGCGGAAAAGCGATGTTCAAAAAAAGTATCCAGATAAGCTCAAATCTATTAAAACAGGTTTTTTTTTCAATTGACAAAGATTTTCATTTCAGATTTTCGGAGAACAAGAATTGAGACCGTGTTTTTTGTTTTTGCAAAATAGCCAGGATCGTTGTTAGTGCAAATGTTGAGGTGTGTGAAATTGTCATAGAATCGAATGCTTACTGCGCATTTTATTTACTATACATTATTTTTTATGAACTACAAATACCGAATTTTATACAAACCTATTAAATAAGATGGATTTAAATCGTCAAAATACCGAATATTCGAACCTTTATGTGGGGGCTATAGGAAAACGTGGACAGATATTGGTCATTTTCAATACCAGATTCTATTATGTCAAATTTCAATTTATCTACGTCAAATATCTTAATCGCAACAGACAGCCAAACGGATGGGCTTCGGATGGTCTCCATTGAATTTTTGAAGGTCTTACAAACGAAATAACAAATTTAATGTGCCGTCCTTTCAAAGGGGCAAGGTATACAAATGTATTTGGGGAATAGCTTTATTTCACCTCCTCTTACCGCGATCCTAATTAATATTTTTCCTAAGTACCACATTCCAACTCAATATGGAACAAAAGCCTCTTAGTGAAGTTGCTACCGTTTCAATTATCGTATATCATCACGCCTTTTTTAAAGCCTTAGAATGAGGACTAAATTAAACCCCCATTTATTTTCGCAACATTTTTAATGTTTACGTATCCACAGACCTTTGCTCCACTGTCTCCACAATTCATTCATAAATGATGAAGAACATGTATAAAAAGCAGAGTCGAAGCATTAACATTAAAAATAAAATGGGTAAGAGCATGCATCCGTCAATGCAGCAATGGCAGTGCACTAAAGCACGTGCCTTTGTTGCAAGACAAGGACTTTCTACCATTCCATGGTATTAGCAGAACAAATAAATATAATAACCCTACAATAATTATGTCTATACCGATGTACATATTCAAAGCTTTAATAGGAATTGTGTTTTATCCGTTTTTTTTCTTTTGCTGTATTCTCTCATTGCATTTACCTTGTGTTGTGGCCTCCGTCGTTGTTGGTTCCCATTTGTAATCCCTGTTGCACAAGGATTCCTTGCAACAACAATAATAAATGTTATCTTTGCGGGGTTCACTGCTTGTCACACATTTCGTTTGATTGCATTCGGATGTGTGGCTAAAACAACCCTTCATTTTAATGCGCTCTTCACCTGTAAGGAAATGCAAAAAGGTGGACAATTAGGAACATTTTTATTTTGATTTTAGACTAAAAGGTGAAATTTAGAAGCACTCACCTGTTCGATTGTTCTTTGACCATAAAACATAACAACTTGGCGGTTTTTCTGAATCAATTTTACACTGTTCCGTTCGGACGGCACAGTCACCATTTGTCGTACAATTGTTCTCATCATAATGTTCGCAAAGTACTTTGTATTCTGGTGGTAATATGGACGACGAAGCCGATGGAACACAAATACCAAGGAGAAATGCTGTAAATAAATTAAATAAAAAAAGGAACATTAGAACATGCAGTAAAGCCAAAATTCACAAAAGTTTTACAGAAAAGTGTCGGTTGAAAAGTAATTTTTAACAATTCAATTTTCATCGCTTCAAATTGTGGTCTAGAGGAAATATATAAATCATTTTAAAAAGTTTTGCGAAAGGAGAAATGGACCTTGACCATATGACGGTGGCATGTTGCCATACTTTGACAGTCTTCCCCTATATAAAAGAAGCCTTCAACTATGTTGGAAATTACCTAAATTCGAATCGAACCAAAAACAAGTAAAAAAGCTGTAAGTTCCGGGCCGAACTTTTAATACCCTCCACCAATTGGAACGAATTTGACAATTCTCAAAAACAATAAAATCCGTTAAAAATTCTGTTAAAATCTTAAAAATACCAAATGTAGCTGTTATATTAGGGTCTATACATCGACATGCATAGTTAACTTTCATCATAAGCCATTACAATATTCAAATGAGAAACTTGAAAAAAAAGTAAAAAAAGCTGTAAGTTCGGCCGGGCCGGACTTTGAATACTCCTCACCATTTGGAACTGGCAATTTTCAAAAAAAAAATAATAAATAAATAAAATCTTCTAAAAATTCTGCTAAAATCTTAAAAATATTAGAGTCTAAACGACGACGTGGACCTGCATAGGCATATTTTGTCATAAGCCATTAGAATATTTAAATGCGAACTTGAAAAAATTCGCAAATAATGTCGCTAAAATCATCAATATACGTAGGTATTATATGGAGGCTATACGAAGACGTGGACTTGCACAGACAATTTACTGTCTTAGGCTGTAGTATCCATATCGAACTTTAAATAACAAATTTGAAACAATTCCTATGAATAATGTCGCTAAAATCATCAAAATACCGAATATCGGAAGGTATCGTTATAAGGGGGCTTTACTAAAACGTAGACCTACACGGCACATTTTCAATACCAAAAGTCCTGCAGACATAATATGCATTTGAGTAAAATTTTATTAATCTACTTCATTTCGTTCGGAAGCTAAAGCGATTTCCACAAACGGACCGACATCGCTAATTCGACATTTTGTTATAAGAATATTGGAAATATTGATCAATTGGATACATGTAAGCCTCGAATAGTTGAGAAAAAATACTGGAATACACTGATGACATGGTATATTTGCATCATATTTCGAGCTTAAAATACCTTGGAGAATCCTGAACGACCGATCGATCAATTGGAAAAGTTACATTGAGAAGCGGACTAAGATTGGTCTTACTGTTCTATATTCCGGCTGTAAGTTCGGCCGGGCCGAACTTTGAATACTCTTCCCCATTTGGAACTGGCAAATTTTCAAAAAAAAAATAAATAAAATCTATTAAAAATTCCGTTAAAATCTTAAAAATATTAGGGTCTAAACGACGACATGGACCTGCATAGGCATATTTTGTCATAAGCCATTACAATATTCAAATGCGAAACTTGAAAAAATTCGCGAATAATGTAGCTAACATCATCAATATACGTAGGTATTATATGGAGGCTATACGAAGACGTGCACCTGCACAGACAATTTTCTGTCTTAGGCTGTAGTATCCATATCGAACTTCAAATACCAAATTCAAAACAATTCCTATGAATAATGTCGCTAAAATCATAAAAATACCGAATATCGGAAGGTACCGTTATAAGGGGGCTATACTAAAATGTACATGGCACATTTTCAATACCAATAGTCCTGCAGACATAATATGCATTTAAGTAAAATTTTATTAATCTACTTCATTTCGTTCGGAAGCTAAAGCGATTTCCACAAACGGACAGACGGACCAACATCGCTAATTCGACATTTAGTTATAAGAAAATTGGAAATAGTAATCAATTGGATACATGCAAGCCTCGAACACCTAAGAAACCAGTAAGGAAAGCTCAAAAGTCGGGCGGGGCCGACTATATGATACCCTACACCACTATGCATATTTAGTAGAGCTCTCGTAAAAAGGTTTATACAGGGCATTTCAGAGCTCTATGAGATATTTGGTACAAAATCAAAATCTATCTAATTCTATCGTGCATTTTACGAACTATAGATATATCTGAACTGGGTTTCTCCAAATTTTACGTATTAGCTTCTAGACTGGTGATTTGGGCTGATATTGACCATTTAGTGCACATTTAACCCGAAATCGGATGAAGATATATATGGGAGCTATATCCAAATCTGAACCGATTTCGATAAAATTTAAAACAGCTATTCCTGTGCTCCATCTAATACCTGGTACCAAATATCACGGTTGTGGAGTGCATAGTAGGAATGTGAGGGACTTAAAGCTCAAATCGGATGAAAGATATATATGGGAGCTATAGCTATATCTGAACCAATTTGATATACTTGCTTCTAGACCGAACTCGGTTGGGTGTGCCAAAATTCAGGTAATTTGGACTGATAGTGGATATTTGGTGCACATTTAACCCGAAATCGGATGAAGATATATATGGGAGCTATATCTAAATTTGATCCGATTCTCACCAATTTCAATAGGGTTCGTCCTTGGGCCAAAAAAATATTGTTTGGAAAATTTCATCTCAATCGGATAATAAATGCGACCTGCATTTTGTTCACAAGAATACATGGACAGACGGACGGACGGACGGACTGACATGCATAAATCGACTCAGAAAGTGATTCTATGAAGGTTCTCAAAAGTAACTATGGGTCTATCTCGTTTCCTTCTCTATGTTACAAACAAATGCACAAAGACATAATACCCTTACCACTATGTGGTGTAGGGTATAAAAATACTGCAATACACTGATGACATGGTATATTTGCATCATCTTTCGAGCTTAAAATACCTTGGAGAATCCTGAACGATCGATCGATCGATTGGAAAAGTTACATTGAGAAACGGACTAAGATTGGTCTTACTGATCTATATTCCTTGATGAGGGACTCAATGAGCAAAAACACACCATGTTACGGTGGTCTTATCCATCTTGACAAAAACTATATGCGAACTTCATATGGTGCAAAGGTTCTGCCGAGCTTTTATATAAATCTAACATTTCGAAGAAAGACCTTAGACGAATGTAGGGTCATAGCTCCATTTATACTTTTTGAACACGCCCAGATTCTTCATACGATTCCCATTCTATATGCGGAAGTACAACATATCTGGAGCCTAAAATTAAATATTATCTGGAAGCCAATTTTAATGGTGTATTGATAAGAAGTGTATGTATGTCGGTTTTCGCGGTTTAATGTGAATTTTCGTATTTTTTACATAATTATTTTTCCCGATAACCAAACAAAATGCCCAGCCTTAACCTCTAGTTTTGAATTGCTTCATAATCTCTATATACTGTTTTGCTGAATTATTGTCGAACTTCAAGTAAAGAAGATGCAACTCCTTGACATATTCAGATATCAGCATGAAAATTTGATAGAATGATAAAGTATAGAAGCATAGAGTTCATAGAAAATAAAGTAAAAAAACATTGAAACTGCTAAGAAAAAAAAAAACGTATTTTTGGCATTGACACTCTTTAAAAAAATGCGCGATATGTTAAAATATATATTGATTTAAATGTACATAACATTGCTCTGTTAGTTGCATAACAGATCGACTCTGTACTGTACAGACAAAATGCGATCTGAAAAATTCTAATTAGTTGTCAAGCTGCTGGTTTAAGGTAGAAACTATTGATGAATGTTTTACTAAAGCACTTTGCATAATATTTGAAACGTGATAGTAAAGACTGGTCCATTTTACTCTCGGCAAGGATGTAATCCCAATAATTTGGATAAATTTGAAAAATAAAGACTATAACCGCTATTAGGTCCTAATGTAAAGGGACTATGGTTCAATATGACGGTGGGTCTTCAAGTTTATTTTTAAAACCGAACTAGGTATTTTCTAAAGAAGTTCAAACGTCAACTCTGACAATGGCTTTACTTATTAAAATGAGATTTTGTCGAAGAGTCCGAAACCGAAGAATCCCAAGGGCTTTATGCACGGCATTCACGGAATTATAAAGCTCTATTCCACAGATATCAAATTTTACTAAAATATTAGGATAATTGAATGTTAGGCTGTTATTTTTATACCCTCCACCATACTATGGAGGGTATATTAATTTTGTCATTCCGTTTGTAACTCCTCGAAATACTCATGTCAGACCCAACAAAGTATATATATTCTTGATCAGCATAAAATTCTAAGACGATTTAGCCATGTCCGTCTGTCTGTCTGTGTGTCTGTCTGTCTGTCTGTCCGTCTGTCTGTCTGTCTGTTGTAATCACGCTATCTTTCGAACAAATTGAGATAGAAGGCTAACATTTTGCACACATGTATATTTTGCCAGTAGGCAGGTTAAGTTCGTAAATGGGCCACGTAGGTCTAAGTTATCATATAGCCCCCATATAACGGTACCTCCCGATATTCGGTATTTTGATGATTTTAGCGACATTATTCACCGGAATTGTTTCAAATTTGGCATTTGAAGTTCGTAATGGATACTACAGCCTAAGACAGAAAATAATCTGTGTAGGTCCACGTCTTCGTATAGCCCCGGTACCCTCCGATATTCGGTATTTTAATGATTTTAGCGACATTATTTAACGGAATCGTTCCAAATTTGGTATTTGAAGTTCGTAATAGATACTGCAGCATAAAACAGAAAATGGGCCATGTGGGTCCACGTCTTCCTATAGCCCCCATATACCATACCCCCCATATTCGGTATTTTGATGATTTTAGCGACATTATTTGCCGGAATCGTTTCAAAGTTGGCATTTGAAGTTCGTAATAGATGCTGCAGCATAAAACAGAAAATGGGCCATGTAGGTCCACGTCTTCGTATAGCCCCCATATACCGTACCCCCCGATATTCGGTATTTTGATGATTTTAGCGACATTATTTACCGGGATTGTTTCAAATTTCGCATGTGAAGTTCGTAATGGATACTTCAGCCCATGCCAGAAAATTGTCTGTGCAGGTCCACGTCTTCGTATAGCCCCCATATAACGGTACCCCCTATATTCCGTGTTTTGATGATTTTAACTACATTATAAACAGATTTTTCTTCAAGTTTCGCATTAAAATATTGTAATAACTTATGACAAAAGTTGCCTATGCAGGTCCACGTCGTCGTATAGGCATTCGGTATTTTTAAGATTTTAACAGAATTTTTAACGGATTTTATTTATTTATTTTTTTTTTTTTTTTTGAAATTGTCAAATTTGTACCAAATGGTGGAGGGTATTAAAAGTTAGGCCCGGCCGAACTTACAGCTTTTTTACTTGTTAAAGTTACTTTCTTAATGACGATCATTATAGACGGAAAGGTTGGTTTCCAACTGGAGTAACCTCAATCCCAATCATAAAGGTTTGAAGTTAATCCAATTGGACATGGTCCAAACAAAACCGAACTTAGAATATTTATAATTTTCAAAATTTTTACAATTGCCTTCATTTATTCTGTGGAACTGTGCTAATTATGTGACCGACACTGTGCGAGTTTTTTTTCCTAGAATACTAACACTTACCGATAGCAACTGCATTAGACAAACTATACTTTTGCAACATTTCGCTGGATTATTTTTCAAATACTTTGATGATGGCAAATGTGATAAGAGTAATCCCGAAAAACACAAACAAAAAAAAACAAACTATTAATAGTTTATTTTCAATCTCTTTGTATTCACTTTTGTGTTGTCTAGTTATGACATGTGTTATGGGACATCATAGCTGCAATCATTCAGGCACACACGCAACAAGATATGTACACTTGCACCGCATCAACCGGAGGAAAAGCTTGCAAAGAAAATAGTGAAGCAGGACGATGGCACAGTTAAACGCGTGAATCAAAACAACAATGACGACGTAACAGCAACGAAAATGAATGAATATGTAATATCTCAGTGCTGTGCACCTCTTAAGGCGTTGGTGGGAAATATGTTGTTAATATACACATATACGCAGCATTTAGCGTTGTCGCGGTCGTTGTGATATACTCTCAACATTAAATAAGGAATTATATTTATAGACCAATGTCCGTCGTACGGGATGCCATAAAAACATAACAAAAAAGAACTATTACTTTTTTATTATTCCGATATTTGTGGCATAATTTCAATTTGATTGTTTTTACTCGCGCACTTTTTTCACTTTTGTTTCCTCTTCACTGATCGATGATTTTTTTGTTGTCAACTATATTAGCTGTTGTTTTGATTTGTTGTTGTAAATATTGGTTGTGTGTCGTCGACGATCATCATAATCATCATGTTCATAATCATTGTCTGGTCTGGCATATCTTCGTAGTAGTAAATACTTGTTGTTGCTGTTGCTATTGTACTTTTTCTTTTATTCGATTAGATTCTTATATACACTTTTTCAGATTTTAATTACTTCCACCTTTTATGAATTGTTTTGGTAGAAAGCTTAGAGGATATCTCATGTTAAATCTATAACAATTTCTATATTTTTTTTCACAATTTTTTAACACTTTTATTCCCAAAATTCCTACAAGCGTTTTTATTCTCTTGTCTCCCGTTATGTTTGTGTGTTTCTCTTTTTAATGTCATTTCTTCATTTGATAGGCGACATCTCGGCGCCAACATTTACGGCGTAGAAATATACAAGTCAAGATGATGCTTGAATTTTTACGTGTGTCCATCGTCAAAAACTAAGAAACGACATTAAACAACCGTTAAGTTTTCTAGCAAAATTAGAAATTCAAATATTAATATTTCAAATACATAACAAGATATAAAAAAATCTACAAGTTTTAAAAGAGGTGCCTTATTTTATGAATAGGACAATTTCCGGACATCACCAAATAAAAAAAGTTAGGGAAATTTAAAGAAATCGAAGAGTCCAACTACCAAGGACAACCTTAAAGTTATTTTTTCTTTTGAGAAAAAGACAGCCGAGGAGGTCTTTGAACAAAGCAAATACTTAAAATGGTAAAGACTGGACAAAATGCATTATGGAAAAATAGTTAATGTGATAGGGGCGCTGCTCACAACAGTGACATGTTGGGATAAAAATCATATTTATAGAGCAATTTTAAGAATTACATTTTCTGTAAGCCAGAATTTGAACTAAAATTTGCATTAAAAACGTCAATGGTTTTTAATGTTTTATATGTCAAAGTTTATGTTCAAAAGTGTAAACAAAAAATTATTTTAATTTCAAAAATTTACATTTTAGGGAATTTGATAATTGATTTTTCCATTTATTATATTGTAAAAATCGGCGAAAAAATGCAAAAATTGTAGATTCTTGCAGCTTCTGAAACAGACCTTTACAACATTATTCAACAGAATCGTTTCAAATTTCGTATTGGAAGATCCTAATGGGTACTACAACCTATGAAAAAAATGTTGTATGACGTGGACCTGGTCTTCGTATAGTCCCTATATAACGGTACCTCCCGATATTCGGTATTTTCATGATTTTAGCGACATTATTTACCAGAATTATTTCAAAGTTCGTAATCGGTGCTACAGCCCATGACAAAAATTTTTGTATGCAGGCCCACGTCTTCGTATAGCCCCCATATAAGGGTACCTCCCAATACTCGGTATTTTTATGATTTGTGCGACATTATTCACCGGAATTGTAACAAATTTCGCATTTGAAGTTCGTAATGGGTACTACAACCTATGACAAAAAAATTCGTATGTGGGTTCATGTTTTTGTATATCCCCTACATAACGGTACATCCCTATATTCGGAATTTTGATGATTTCAGCGACAGGTCAACGTCTTCGTATAGTCTCCATATAACAGTTTTCATTAAAGTGGTAGTTTCGGGAAGTTTTTATGAACATTTTTAAGTTCCTTCCAAATGGTGAAGGGCATTAAAAATTCGACCCAGCCGAACTTAGCTTCTTTTTTACTTGTTTCGATATCATAGATGGAAAATCGGTTATCATAGTTTTGGAACAGACCAACTGTTTTCCATGATTGCCAATATTTAATATATAAAATTAAATACCTCAAAAAACACAGTTTAGGGAAAACACATTTTAAGTTATCGATAGAAATTTGGTTTTTCGAATTCAAGTTGAAGTACTAAAATTTTTAGGAAGTTCAATATGCAGTTTTGTTAAATTAAGTCAAGATCCAAGTAAAAAAACGGTGACTCCTTGATGTCTGCAGGTATCAACATGAAAGAATTGTAGTAAAATAAAGTAAGATTCGTAGAATACGCAATTCAGATTTTTTTTTTTTTATTTATAACACTTTTGGTAGATGTGCGAGAGCGATATGGGCAACTGCTACATTGAGCAAATGTGGCGTCTGATAGCGCCTTTAGATTACTTGGCCCTATGATATAAAATCGATTACAAAAAGTCTACTTTGCGATTTTCAACACAAGCAAACATCGGCTTCGACTTTACACCTCGATTAATCGAAAGTCGACTTAAGTATCCCTGAATACCACCAAATATTGATTTTATTTTATTCCAAAATCGAAAGGATAAGCTAGAAGAAAAATCAATAGAAAAGAACGGGAAAGTTTTAAAAAAATTTATTTTGTGTGTGTTAAAAAACACATTGAACGCAAACACACACGCACTTTAATCGATACATTCCTTATTTTGTCGGTCGCAATTCAAATTACAAAAGAAAACGCGAGTGTTTCCGTTTTTTTTTTTTCTTTTCGTTTTCGTGTGAAAACTTGGAGGAGGTGTTGGTGTTGTAACAACTTGGCAAAGAAGAAAAAATTGTGTATGGAAAATATACACATTTACATGGAATGAGGAGAAAAAATTCATTAGCAATTGAAAGCTAAAATAGAATCAATATCCAAACGACATTGTATTCTAAATAAACGAAAACGAAACTGAAGGCAACAACAACGTCGCGTTTTAAATGGATGTAGATAGTGAAACTCCATTTAAAAATGAATGATTGAATTGATTTTGTTTGGAGAAGGCATTTTTCTTCTTGCAACGACAATAAAGAAAATACAGCTGAAAGTGTCTTCCTCGCATAACAGCTGACGTATTGGGTATGTACTACCAGAAAGAAAAAAATTATAAAAAATTGGATCTTAAAGTTTTTTTTCGCCTTGATGAGGATATTCTCACAAAAAAATATAGCTATAATAAATGTGTGTTTCCTTTGGTTGGAAAAGAAAATACCTTTACATGCTTCCTTGGGTACATAACTATGTGTGTTTATATTGGCTTGTATGTGAAGGTATTTAAATAATACATCACATAGACGGAAATGAGGGTTGGGGTGTTTTTCAATTCTATTTTATGTTGCATATTGAAGAAGATGATAAGGTAGGTGGTTGTAGGTAAGTGGGTTGATGGGTGGTTGCTATACCCGCAACATAACAAACCCAATATTGGTAGAGATCGAATACGGTTGATATGTTTTTCACCTTTTCGTTTATTATTGATTTTTGTTGTTTGTTTGCCCACAACCACTCTTACACAAATGTTGATATTCCGCCACAAGAAAAAAAAATCAAAACAAGGAAGTACAAAATATTTGGTTATATAACAGTTTGTACCCTACACAACACACACATGAGTGTGGGTACTGTGTGTTGAAACAAGGATGAAAGATTTGGTAGGAGATGAGGATAATTATACTGAAATAAGTAGGTATAATGACATGTGTCTATAAATACCTCCATTAGGTTTGTCATTTTGGTTGGCATCTCCTTAAACTAAAGCTATAGACATAAACTAGGTATTCGATATTTTGTCCGCAAAATTTATTTTGTTTTGAAAATAAGAATATAATTATCTAATTTTACTTCATTTGCTTTATTGAAATAAGTCAACTTGGACTTAAGGGAATATGCTCGGTTCATTTCTACCGCAGGTGGTTATTTTTAACCTAATTAAGGGAGAGTAATTTTTTCGTGGGGCAAATACCCGGTTATTTGACCCGAAAGTCCGAATACAACATCCGGTTATACAAAACTGTTATCATATGATGGGGTTATTGGAACCGATTCCGGAGTAATGCAAGAAAATTGATATTTTTATACTTTATACTTTTATATAATTATATATATCCCTATACTTTTTGAAAAACCCCTACTCGAAAATGGACCCGTTATGGTGTGCTACATTATAGCTTATATTCTTGCCTTTCCAAAATGGTATCATATGTGCTGATATCTCTTATGGTTTCATATTTGTGATGCAAATCATGAATTTAGGATTTTCCACATCAATCTAAGCATTAGGCCGGTGCTTGAAATTTTCTCCTCTGGGGCATGCTCAACACCAACAAGGATGATAGAATTGGTATGAGTATAATTATACTGAAATAAGTAGGTATAATGACCTCCATTTAGGTATAATACCTCCATAAGGTTTGTCATTTTGGTTGGCATCTCCTTAAAGCTATAGACATAAACTAGATATTCGTATTTTGTCCGCAAAATTTATTTTGTTTTGAAAATAGGAAAATAATAATCTAATTTTACTTGATTTATAGGTTTGCTTTAGATTTAGATTTGAAAATTTTTATGTAAACATTCCAAATTAGTTTTTCGAAAAATTTGTACGAGTTACGCTTCTCAATACGTTGAATAACTAAAAACAATTATACATAGTTATATCCATGGTATAATGATATCAAGGTAGGGCTATGATACCATATGATTTCAATTTTTTATTTTCTTGGCTTAATATGTCACCTTTATTTGTTTATATATGTGTTTTCTTTTCAATAACAAAAAAATTGTCCAGAAAACATTCAAATTCGGATGTTTTCAAAATGTTTATTTCATCGTATGCATCGACAACATCTAGAGTTTTTGTAGCGAAATAATCCTTTAGAGATATATAGAACCTGGTTTTGAAAAGAAGTGTTGACCTTTCATTAAGTTTTCGCGGTTTTCAATTATTTATTCAAAATTAATGCAACAAGTTGTTTGATTTTGTTATTGTTTTGATACTATTTCTGACATTACAAGCCAAACAGGTAGACCTCTATACTTGCAATTTTTTCAAAGTTGACCTACCTTCTCTTCATTGTACCATGGTTATATCTACAATTAAAAGTAAAACCGCGATTTAAGCCAGTTTTGATATGTACAACTATTTCATAAATGTACCAACCTAATTATAATACTAAAATGGCATCTCATACAAGAGAAAGTCCATACTTAAATCTTCTTTGCATAGTGATGAAAATTGCCATCATACCAAATATCGTCGAAAATTTATATGAAAGGAAAAGTTTACCTTGTGTTTATCGTATCTGGAAGTCTTCTAACAATAAGCCAATTCAACTGACAGTAAATCTTTCTTGAAGTTTATAATCTACAGGGTGAAATAAAAAAAAAACTGCAACAAAGTCAAACGCCATATTTTTTTACATTTCATTTCATTTATTTTCATACAATTCAATATAAATAAGCCAACATGGCCAAAATCTTATATTAACAAACAACAGTATAAAAACAGCCAATAACTATATTAATCTAAAAAAAAACTAAATAAATAACAAAAATAATCAACGAATAGTAATATATATACAAAAATATAATAATAATTTAAATTTAGTAGCAATTTAGTAATTAGACCCTCAGACACAACAACTGAAAGCAA